AGGAAGACAAGCACTACTTCAGCCAAAAGGATATTAAGAGTTAAACCTAATGGAACAGAGAAAAACAGAAACAGAGGAAGAAATTCTCCATCCTTCCTTCCTTCCTTCCTTCCTTCCTTCCTTCCTTCCTTCCTTCCTTCCTTCCTTCCTTCCTTCCTTCCTTCCTTCCTTCCCATCCCATTTACATCAGCAATGTCCTATAATGATTAATTGAAATATTACAAAGAACTACTATATTTGCAAAAACGAATGTTTAAGGCCCTGCAGGCTTTGGGGAAATAAGGTTCAGCTTGTCAGAATGCTTCTTTAGAACCAACACAACTGACTTTTATGCACTTTAGGACTCTGAAGATTCTGAGGATTAAGTAGTTGATCTTTATCATCTGACCAGTCATCCTGCCCAATGAGACATGATGTCTTCACATGCAGTCTCATGATACAGAGGGAAAAAAAGTTAAGCTTCCAAAACTTCAAAGAATTCAACACACAACACAAAGATGCACATAAACAAACTACTGAGGTTTTTAGTTTAGCAATTTAGCATTCCAGCTTCTGATAAAACTTATAGGAAAAAAAATACTTATATAAACTAATGATTAAAGATGTAATCACCTTAAAAGCAGAGTGTGCACATTCCTGTGTTAGATAAGTAGTCAGGTTACTTCTGACCTTATTGATCTATTTAAACAATATTTTTCTTTCTATCTATCTATCTTACATATTATGTCTGTGTGTGTGTGTGTGTATGTGTGTGTGTGAGAGAGAGAGAAAGAGAGAGAGATAACTGAAATAACTTACTGCGCATTACTACTACTATTACAAAGTCATATGCTGCAGCTATAATACACATTTACCCAGGGAGTAACCCTTACTGGACTTTGTAGGCCTTACTTCCAAATGGACCCACACAGAACTGTATTGCTAATGCACTTTTAAACTTTGATTCCCTATAGGAATGTTTTGATATGCCGAATCCAACATTTAAGACTGCATTAGCGATGCCGTTCTACATGGGCCTGTTTAAAGGCAAGGTCCACAGAGCCACGTTAGGCTTATTTCCTGGGTAAATGTGTACAGAGCTGCATTCCATGACTCCACGAAAGTAGCAGTAGTAATGTTCAGTATGCTATTTTTCTTTAAAAAAGTTGTTTTGATTCAGTGGTTCTAAAGAACTGCAAGGGAACTTAAGAAGAAAGTTATAATTTTCACTGAGTCAGTCCATTTGCATCTATTTCTATTTTGTTTTAACATCCTGAATAGCTATGGATCATCCCTACCACGTATTTCTATCCTGTAAGAAACTCTGACCCCAGACATTTTGTAAACTAGCAGCAACTGATAAATAACTGAATCAGGAGGTCTTAAGTGTTTCCTCACTCGTCTCCTTCATTGTTTATCACATAGAATAGCCTTTCTCAGTTAGGAACTCAACACTATCAACTATAACTTTCATTATCTTTTGGGATAAACAGCACAATAACAATCATCAGCATGATCCCAGCACTAATGGAAAGGAGAGGAGGTGGAATTATCTGGGAAATGGTGTTGCTGGACCCAGAAAAGAGTGCTCCCTACTGTTATTCAGGCATTCATCTGAATTCACATGGGCTGAAAGGTGGGGCTCCCCACTCTGATCCATACTATTGCTTTCAAGCATGTCCAGCCTTCTTCTACTCCAAGACCTTGTTGCAATGAATCAGTGTCTGAAGGGGAGATCTAGCTGCATGGATTCACAATTGCAAGGAGTTTGAAAGCTTCTGCTGGATTAAACATAATTTGTTACATTATTCAGACCTAGAATAGGATTAACATGAACTCAAGATGACTAGAACTTCCTCACCTGACATTTCCTTCTGATAAATTTACCAAAGTTCATAGTAACTATAAGTCCCAAAACATGATTAACTAAAAGCAAAAATGGTCACTTTTCAACAGCCTGCCAGGGAATGAATGTACAAGTTTGACACCTCTGCAGCTCATTCACATTAAAGGCTAAATTCACACTTTTCATGATTTGTTTGGTTTTGGCTTAGCATGTTATGTGAACTCAGCCACTGTAGTTTGTGAACTATAGTTTGTGATTTTGTTAGGTGCAGATCCTAACATACAAGGATTGTGTACAGACTTCTAAGAATTGTTATAAAATTGTAATTATTAAACAGAAGGGCAAAATGATTAAATACATAAACAGAGAGTAATCGTATGAAGTATAATACATTTCAACTGAAACATAAATAAAAATAAATCTAATTTAGTTTTGTCTTGGCCCCTCCGGTTTAGAATATAACTTTATAAGGCTATCTAATTCCATTGCGACTAGACAACAAAAGACAACTAGCATCTAGAAAAAAAAAATTTCTAAATAAACAAACAAACATATATACATACACACTACACAAGGGGCCAGTCACAGACTCTAGCTCAATGCCTGGGGGAAGAGGCAGATTTTAACAGCAATTTTGAACAAGGTCAGGGTGAAGACCAAATTAATCTGTGCAGGGATGTTGTTCCAGAGGGCAAATGCTGCAACAGAGAAAAACCGGGTCCATGATACTCAAAAGCTTAGAAAAAGTTATATGCACATGACTTAGGAGAATGTGTAAACCACATCACTGTAGTTCATTCATCAAGCCATAATTAAAACAAACGTTGCCTTAACAATTATGAGATTATTTTCTCAATATTCTCACAATCACAATAAAGTGGAAAGATTTTACCCTAGTGACTCACAGAAGTCAGTGAGCACAAAGGTCAGTACTATGCGGGGTTCTATGGTTATGGATTAGAATTCAAATACCTATAAGGGGCTTGATGTGGAATATATACCAATCATACTTTCTATCCGCATAGATAAAGGCTTAGATCATACAGTGTCTAAACCATAATGTGGTTGATTTGTTTTTGGCTTAGCAGGATGTGCAACCTGGTCAGAATCCAGCTTGGCACAGGGTGGGGAAAAAGGAGTGTCAGACAAACATGAGCTGTCCTATCTACAGGAAAAGCTTACCTCACATTTGAAGCACTTTCGTGCTTATGCGCCAACTGTAAGACTTACAATGGCAATAGAATGCCTACAGTGACACAATCAGCAAGCCACATTGGAATCAGCATCTATACCAGGATTTTGCTACATAGTTACAGAAAGATCCTTTGTTCCCAATTTCAGAAGTAGCAAATGCTGTAGCAAGGTCACAGCTTGTGATTCAAAATGTTATTCATGCAAACAAAACCACAATGAATATCAGAATTCAGGTTATTCTAAAGTATTATAGAGCTGTTCAAAATTCAGAAAATATCAAGAGACATCAATAAGCGCGCTCAATACTTGGGGAGGGAAAGAGAGATAGAGGGTTTTTTTTTGTGGGAAGGAAAGTAATATTTTACTTTTCTGGGCACGAAAAGACCCCCCCCCCCCAGCCAGAAACTGTTCCTGTGTTTCAGATGCATTAACAATAAATTAAA